ACCTTCAGTGCATTCCTGCTGTTGTGGGCCATGAATGATCCCTTCCGATGTGCGCGGATTTACTTTGCCAGATGTCGTCAGCCTGGGACATGTTGCTTTTCTTGATCCCAAACCCATAGACTTGAACAGCCTTGCTCCTGACTAGTGGAAAGTTCGTGGCAAGATCATGCTAGTGTTTGATAACAAATTCTTCATGAAAGCTTCTGCAAGAGCCTTCGGTAAGAGCAGTTTGTGCACACAAGTCTTTTCAAATGTATTGCTGATGCAAATTACAGCAAATAAATACTTCCTCAGTCGAGAATTAAATGAAACTGTTTGTTTGACAGGCTAGAATTGTATCACCTTCCCATCATTTTCGTTTCAAAATTTTTTCAAAACAAACCACTTATAGGTAAAGTAAGTGCTGTCGAATTTTCGTTTACAACGGATGGATACCGGCCACGTGGCAGTACTGCGACCCCTTGTCAATCTGGCAAAAAATACGAATGTGGTCAAGGTCTTGCTGGACCCGCCCAAAATGGCGCCTCAGAAGGGCGGCCCTTCTCCGTGGCTCCCACGGAGCCAAAGAAGTACAGGTCGAGACGTCACTCAGACTCAACGTTTCTGCAGCTATCCTAAACCTGCAAGGCGGCCAAGATCGAGCTGTGTACCGTTCGATCGTCTAAGCGATTGATAGATTTGGGCCTAGAGGAACCACAGTTTGGCTCAGAAGCTCCGTGAACAAGTGGAGCAAAGGGACGGCATCAACCTCAGCCAGAAACGGAAGAGGCACTGCGGGAGGAAAACTAAGCCCTTGGAAGAGCTTGCAGAAGAGATTAGGGAGATCCCACAGTACCAGCGGTCATCTGCCTGATGGTTTGCACAATTGAAGAATTCAAGCAAGATGAACATTCATGAATTCTTGCAACAAAAAGAAGCCATGAGATGTGCCTTGTGGATCAAGCTCAACCTAACAGCCGAGCAGAAGCTGCAAATGTTGCGTTTTTTGATCAATCGGGTCCAGCCAAAGGGGAGACAATTTGTGTTTGACCCGTGCACCCATGAGGTTCACGTAGACAAAAAAGTGGTTTTGTGCCCTGTCTAACATGCAGCGAGGGTGGCTGTTGCAAAACGAAGCCAGGCAAGGGGCTTCAATAGCAAACAACAAGGCGTTCATACCCAAGATTATGTTTCTAGCAGTTGTTGGTTGGCTGCACAAACGATCTGATGGGACAGTGTGTGACAGCCCGTTGGGCATGCGGCCATTCATCACCACCAGATGTGTGCAAAGATTGTCCAAGAATAAAGCGGCCGGAGATCAGATCTTCCAGCCCATCAACGTGGACGCTACAGTCTTCTTGCAACTTATGAAAACAAGTGTTTTTCCTGCAAGAAGGGCTGTCTATTGGCACGCCAAGTCCACCATCGTAATTCAGATGGACGGGGCAAGCCTCACGTTGCAAAAAGCATATAAGGCGAGCTTCAAGCAGAATGCTTGAAGAGTGGCTTTATGATCAAGATCCAGAGCCCCACCCCTCCCAAAACCCAGAACTTAACATACTAGATCTTGGGCTGATTCACAGCTTCCAATGCCGGGCAGAGGAAGTCAAAGTTGGGGCCGACCTGGGTGGCATCGTTGCTGCGGTCAATTCTGCCTTCACCTCGTATGATCCCGAGTAGCTAGAGCACGTGTGGAATCCTCTTTTCAGCGTCTAAGAGAGCGTGCTTGATCACGTTGAAGGCAACGACTTCAGAGTCCCATACGAAGGCGCTAGGAGGGCGGGGCAGACAGAAACGATGGGGGAGGCGTTTCACGTGAACCGTCGATTCCTGGCAAAAGGAGGGCACATCTTGGATGCTTGTGAAATGGAATTAATGATTGCATTTACTTCGAACAAAAGTGGTTCTTAAGGTTTCGTGACCTAGTATTTTCAAATCTGATGTTGTTTTTGGCGTTTGACTTCATTCTGGTATTGGAATTTGACTCTTTCAAACTGTTTCATTTATTTCCAGACGGAAGAACTACAATTCTGAATACACTTTGGCACCTCCTCAGAGTGTAAACGTGTGATGCACTAGGACTGTGGAGTTCTACCATCGCCTGCACATAGACACGCATCAAAGTACCAGAACGTCTGGGCACTGGAATGGCTGTGTCTGGGGAATTGTCGAATTGGTGGTATGGCCTCAAAGAATATACCGAAGGGTGCACATTACACATCTTGCATCGCTCCATACCCGCATTTTGCCAAGGACTTTGGCTATTCTTTTCTTTGAACAGGAACTTTCTGCATAGTGTAAAATACGTGAGTGTGCAAACAAAGCGCGGTATGCAGCACAGCAAGTACGTCACCTATTTGGGGCAACTTGGAATGGGTAGTGCTTCTCGGCTGCTGCTGCCGCCCACACTCCAAACCATGAACCGTCTAAAACATGTGATTGACCTTCATGCGAGAAATGAAAATGCAACAAAGAGTCAAAATTATCATTTGAAGGCCGTAGGAAATCCTTCAGAATTACTGAAGCCACCTCCACAGTCCACCAACTGTCGCCTTAAAACTCTTTAATCCATGTGTGGCACACCCATCAAATTCGACGCAGCCACCCTTGCACATGTAGGGTACGACCCCCACAGCCCCACCTCGTGATATATGCACACAGTCGGATTTAATATGCGATTTGGTTAGCAAGTGCGATAATCGCTCTGCTCATGTGCAGGGTCTCGTGGAGCTCTTTCGGTCAAATCGGAAGCCTCATTGCCCCTTGCATTGATGTCGCAACTATGTGGACAGACGTGGGTGGGCAGCCTTGAAGGGCGATGGGTCTTCGCTCTAACCCCCTTCCACGAATGCATCAACACAGGGGAGCCCGTCTGTCCTGGATGCGCAAGATATGCGATTCAATAACGTTGTTAATGGCATTCGCTGGCAGGAATTTGCCCACTGCAAGCACTTGGGCATCATTTGCAATAACATCCAATTCATGCCAATACAATAACCAAACGGAATTTAACAAAAAGTTTTGAATCACAGATAATCAGTAGGTTTACATTGCAGTCAAATGTCCTGAACATTCTTTTAAATACCAGCATTTCCAAATGTAATGTAAGATCTGCATTAAAGCTCTTTTCTGACGTCTTGCTTTCCGAAAACGGACCAACTCACGCAAGTTCCCGTGCGCTTATATTGTTGTAATCATAATCGGTTATACTCATACTGCCATCACTAGCAGAAAACAGTGGTGGGGCGAACACCAACTGCGACACCGTTTTGCAATGGTCGATGCCATCAAGACAACTGCGATGGCAACTGCTGCCACCGAAAGCACTGTGATGCCGCCACTTATTGCGGAAACAGCATCGCAGCTGGCATTGCCAGGACGGTGCTTTCTGCCAGGGCATAAGAATCCAGGACGCGCTCTTGTGTTGGGCTGGTCAGCGCGGAACAATGGGCGAGGGAAATTACCACATTGCCTGGAGTGGCCCGGGAAAGCTGCAGATCCTGGTTGTGAGGGGTGTCCACGTTCATGCACATATCAGGAACTCGAAGATGCAAATGGCAAATTCATATTTCACATCGTTGTGGCATCGACAGCGTCGCTGTACACGTTGCGCATATTTGAGGCTTGTGAATCCTGGATATGTGAATCTTTACTGCGCTGGAGATTGGCACACATTTCAGGCTATAGACATTACTTGACGTTCTTTGACTACTATAAGGTTCATATAAGATTGCACACATTCACTTGGATATTGGCATTGTTCATCCAGTTCGACCCACTCTTCCGGGCATCCAACGTCGCTGCAGCAGCACTGAACCTCCTCTGTCGTTCTTGTTTCGTCCCCAAGGTCACACAGCGCCGTTGAAGATTCTATGTTCTTTGTAACTTCCACGATGCCAGTGCTTCCTGCCAGCGCTATTTCAAAGTCGCTGCAATCGTCTATGGATGGGACTTTGGGATCGTAACGCGAGTCCACCCTCAGCACGTCGTTTCCCTGAGTTTCAGTGCAACGGTAAGTTGCTCCATATTGAGGCCAATTGTTCCGAGGTATATGCCGAGAATCTGTACAATTGCATTCTCAAATTTACTTCGAAGTTGAAAGAATGTACCAGATTCGCTCCCAGGTTCAATGCAACATGGAATCAGTGCATGTCTGCAGGAGCATTCTGTCAGGCACCGTGCCATTACGAAGAGTTGTTTTCGAGGCGCCCATGCGCTGCGCCCCATAACTCGAATGGAATTCTATTTGTGTCCTTGAGTACCGCATCGCGAACTTCTCATACAGTTTTGCAATACAGTTATGAGGGGCGATGAATTTTCTTGGTGATTCAATGATTGAGCACTCAAGAAGGTGTTAATTCGTCAGCTGTACAACATGTGCTGATGGGCATTTTGGAAACATTCGACACAGCAATATAACAGTCAGCAAAAATGAATTTACTGGATCGACAATTTTCAGAATGCCTGTCAAGTCACTCGGAGGGAATTGCAACACTGACCCGATATTGCATTCCTGCTAAGGTTCCATTGTAATGACATATTGCCACCGCGTAGTCCATGTCTATGAATAGATGCCATGATGTGTAATCTACATCCTGTAGGCAAGCCCAACTAGAATTCAGCCAACTTCAGATCAGTGATAAAGAAGACCCGCGTGGGTGCACAATTTGAGGCGCTGGCGGCGGCAGGTGAGCGGTCGAGCTCGATAACGCTTGGTGGGCGGTTGCGTGCTATTAACTGATGCCATCACAGCTGCTTCGCCATCGCGCTCATTGTTACGGTGCCAATAATGTCCAAATAACATCGCAGCAGGAATTTCTGAAATGCTGTTTTTCGCAGCTGGTGAAGATTGCACAACGTGGACCCGTTTGAGCGAAACACGCTTGCAACGGTTTCAGCAGTTTTGAATGGCTTAACGCCCTTCAACAGTTTCAAACGTGACAGTGGGGCAATTCTTGTCATTACATTTTCGAACAAATCTTGCCCGCGGTCAAGCTAAGCGTCCATTCAAGAGCCCTCACCAAGCACTTCGCAGGCGCGTTGACCTCTTCGAATTCGCATATGTACGCCATCTCGAGGTCGCAATCCACGTCGACAACGTTGCGGTCAAGTCCACGCCTGTCGATGGCCGCGCAGTCCTGTTCCTCTTTCACGCTATTTGCCCACAGCCTTTCGGCCCGCACGCCTTCGCCTGTGGTGTTGATCTCGTCGCCGCCGAAGGCTTTGAGAGGAGCTTTCACCTCGCTGCCGGTCTCCAACCACCTGCAGCATACACCGCTTTTGTGGGCCGGGATTCGCTGCCTCAGAGGCGCTAGCTGTGACCCATTGAAGTGCGGAAATACTGCAGTATTACCAAAGGAAGAGACCGCGATACGAAGCCCAGTGAGTAAAATTAACCCGCATCTCTGGAAATGCCGAGTTACTGAGGGAATGAGAAACTGATCGTGAAATAGCCGAAGGATTCCTCACCTGGTCGGATCGGGGTATGTTTGGGCCTATGGGATGGCGACGCAAAATTGTCTTGTACTGGTAAATCCGTGTTGCCTGCTCTGAAGCAGAACAAACAGCACCAATATGGCATTGCAATGGACGGTGTGTATCGGTATCCACATCCAATTGTAATGTATCAAATCTGCTGTGCAGAATTTTTGCCGGCTGCCCGTTAGTTGGTCAGTTGTTTCCGCGTTCCTGCCGAGAAAATCTGGCTCCAAGTTGCGAGCTGGTAATGGACCATACGCGATAATAGCACGAAGTAACGTGATTTACTTCAACTGAATTTTGGAGACACTGTCGCCATTTCCCTATTTTTGAAGAAAATCTTATCTTCCTTTATTAACTTCAATTTCAAATACGATAATGCCACCATTTTTCCGCTCCACATTTACGCGTAGGGTCGTCGGATCCCGTACCATTAATGGCCAGTGCTCTCACCTCCACGCGTAAGTGAACGATGACGTATCCAGGCGAAGACCAATCCACGAACCATCGCGCGTGGCCAGTCCCGATAGAAACCTGTGCTGTGACTCTGTGTGTATCTCCGCAAGATAACCTCCCAATTCGATGCACTTTTCTCGCGCCTCCTCATAAGTGAGCTTAGCGGCCATCTCATTTGTGTAGAATTTGCCGTCCTCTTCCAGGAAATAGCAGGTCTTGTCTTCAAATTTGTCGGGGCACTCGGCAGACTTGCCACGAAGCACCTTTGCAAACGGGCCAGCTGATCTTAGCAAGCAATGCATAGAAAGAATAGAGATTGAACCATGCCGGTGTTCCTTTCAAGGGCACAAGGTGGTTGCCGTGTTATTATAACTACACGCTGTCAAAACCACTCGATGCCAATGCCTTTGTCGTTGGCTGATTCAGAAGATGTCAAGGAGTCACCTCACCATGCCGTGCACTCTCGGATACATTGGTAACGTCACTGGTAAGGAAAAAAGTGTCCAAAACATTCCCAAGATCGGTAGATTGCCAACACAGCTGCATGCAGTACCTGAAATTGACAAGGTTTCAGCTCGATCTTTCGACAAATCGCCGTCCTCTTGATTATCCTGTCGAAAACCGTCTTGAAGTCCTTGTCGTCTTGCTCCAGCTGCGACACCAACACGTCCTTTCCCACAACGGCAACCAGCAGCCCAGGGACTCCTTCGGCGGTGTCTGGGGAGTAAACCGGCATGGCGGCAGTGGTCATGTTGCCAAGGCCGCTGTCGTCGATGTAGAAATTGCTCCAAATGACGTCCAGACCGCGTCGCCCCCACGCCAGGTACCGCGTGTAGTCCAGAAACCTGGTGAGGGGGTCGTCTTTCTCTGCAAATGGGTGGAGATTTGAAATCAAAACTCCATGGAATGGTGCTTTTATACATGGTGCATGCAACTAAATGAGTTGACCCTGATTCACCTGAACTGCTTGATGCGCAATGTGTAACCCGATACCAGACTGGGCAGAAAAAAAAGGGAAAACATTGGGTGACGAGGCGCTGAACTCTGCCAGTTTTATTTACTTCACGATGAACAGGAGTGGACCACGCGCCTGCCATGTTTGATGGCAAAAAGAGAGGCACATAGGTTGGTACGCATTTCCTGTGGCACGGATTTTTCCCGGGCAGGCCGTCCTGGACACACACCCTGGTGAAAACACCCGTACGCAGTACAACTATGTATTATCAGTATGAAAAATTATATTGCACACTATGATCATATGATTACTATATCCGTTTACCGCGGACTTCTTCATCGTGTTGTTTGGGAGCCAGAGGTCCTTTTGTAAGATATGGCCTATACCAAAAGCACATGTGCATGGTCGCCCCAACGCAATGATTCACCCCTGCCCAAGAGCAGAGAATATTTCATCATGGGGAAATGTTCCATTTCAATGTCGCAATCCTCTATATGAGACTCACCCCCGATGGCCTCCCACGAGCCATCGTTCTCGCAAGACATCATTCTGGGAAGCCTGTCGTCGGCGTCGGCTGTCATCGAGAACGTGAAAATGCTGGCTCTGGCGCTCCCCAGAGCTAGAAGTGCAGTTTGCTTCTCCTCTATCCGATTGAGCACTGCATCCGGTCCGTTGCTGTCCCGCTGGCCGTGGCTAGGGATGTCGGACATGCACGGCTGGCGGCTGTTGAGCGTGCAGTCTTCTCCATCAGTGAGGAACAAGATAATCTGGATAACCACGCAGAACTCGAATAGGTGTTGGTCGATTCAGATTGACGTTTCACAAGAATGCAGTTGGAATCGGATTCAATTGGTGAGAAGAGAGTGAACGACAGCATTCACTGTTGCGGAGCCTCGCATCTGTTACATTGTGCATTCTTTACTGCATAGAGAGGCATGCGCAGTTCGCACCATAGTTTGGCACCAGCCGCATCTGGTGCGCAATGCAAATTCTGGCCAATTTGCTATCTTAGCATTAAGTTTATTTTATTGCCGCCATGCAACACTTGTAATGGATTGCCTGTATCAAAGCTGTGGTGTGCACCGCTGTGCGCCAAAAAGCTTTGTCCCATCCAATTCTGGAATGCGAAAGATGTAGTACTGTTGCAAACCAGCAAGCATGGTTGACAACGCCAGGTGATGGGGGATACCATCTTCGAATAGGTGCCAGCAATCTGTGAGGCTTCTCAGATAAAACGTTCTGCTGCTCAAACATTTCATTGCCTTACGCCCATTTTATTTTTGCAGGTTTATCTGCGCCCACATCCGGAGACATGCTATGACAACGGAGAGCAATGCATCTGCCAGAAGTGCTGTTAAGCAACCCAACCTTGTTGCAAAATGAAGTAGGTGCAATGTCCGACACTGCGCCAATCCTGCTGGACTTGATCAGAATGTCGAAAGCCATGTCCAGACCCGTCCTGAAGTCCGTGCCTCCTGATGGTTCCACGGATGCCAGCTCCTCCCTCAGCGCGGCGATGGTCTCGCCTTCTGATCGCAAAAGTGTGGTCGTGTTGCCGAGGGCAGTGGCCTCAGAGTTAAAGGTGACGACGGCCACGAAATCAGCGATGCCAAAGGTGCCCAGCAGCCGAGATACGGCACCCTTAGTGACTTCCCAACGCGTCTTTCCCTCCCTTCCCAGGCCCCGTGTCATGCTGCCTACGCATCGCAACCCCCTCATTCGATCAAAGTAGTGCTTAAAGAGGCAATCTAGGACAAGAAGGGAACAACTTCAAGAGGGGCGCACAGCCTTTCCAAAGGCAGTCCTGTTGCTCCTCATTTCAGTAGCAGGATCAGTGGCTGCCTGTACCACAACTATCTGTATGTAATCTGCATGCGCCTATGGTTGAATCTACTTCTATGGCACCAGTACTACACTTTATCTTCTTCCTGTTGTAATCCTGCGAGATCAGTCAGTTTCCAATCCCACATCAAATGCTGACTGTTGGTCCATTTGAAGGGGGAACTTTCACTGCATTCGTGTACATTTCATGCAGCAATATCCTCTGTTCTGCCAGTTAAATATGGTTGACGCTTCCAACGCGTCTATTGGACTAAGTGTAGGGTTTTGCACCTTCGATCGCCAGCCCAAGGCTAATGGGCTATCACCACTGGCAGCCCTATATTTCTTACTCCTCATCTGAGCCGTACCCCACCCATGGCCAACCAGCCACCCAAAGGTAGCCTTGGCTGACGCGCCTTCTACGCTTTGGCCGATCGGTGGGTGTGCAATGACCCAACTCAGTGAGCATCTGATGACCACTTGGCACGCACACCCACCAACAACTGCTTGCACTCTCGCGATCAGAGTGTTTCTGAGCTGTGGCAGCTTGAAAGCTGGCAGTGGATCCATCCCTCTCAAGTAGACGCGCTCGTCGATTCGCCTATTCCAATTTGCCTTCAACCGCAACTTCTGATTGGTCTTGGTGGACACTGCAGGTTACTCTGCGATCTGGAATCCTGGTGCCCCCCGAAATCTACAGAAATTTGGTGGATCTATGGGCAATGCGAATCATTAGGCATGTTTGCCATGGAAATGGTCCAGCCCTATCCACTTGTGTCGAAGCACCAGACAAGCTGATCGTGGTGCACCATGAAAAATGCCTCGTTTCCTTCTTTCTCGTTCGACATCAAGAGCTTGGGTGCCGTTTATGGCGTTTGAAGTCTTTGCAGACAGCCCTGAAAAAAGAGATTCGAGGTTGCTTGGGTAGGCTTTCTGTGCCACAAGTGTGACCTCGGTGTGCGCAAAACTGACTGCCAATACATTAGCAAAGTCAGCGACGCGCTATTGCAACATAGTGCAATTTAATGTCAGCAGCTGGTTTACTGATTGGCGTAATAGATGAGTTGGCAATTTCATCAGGAATGACCAGCTCGCACATTCGGCGTTTGGTGCAGCAAAACTGCTACGCAACTTGTGGAGAATGGTGGGCGAAGTGCGTCTCTCTTGCCGGGCATAGGGATGATGTTGGCGCACATTATGGGAAGTGCATCACAGTGCGAAGATTCGACATGTGAATGCGCACGGGCGCATTCTCCCAGTGAGGCGTCAGGACGCAAACCGAGCGAAGCTAGCCAACAAGTCGTAAGAAACCAGAGTGGCGGAACAGAAACACTGAAAAGAGAGTAGTGCAAGAGACCATGACGGTGAATCGTTTTAAGAAAGAACCAGTGTCTTGCAACGTAGCAAGGATTTCTGCAACAGACATCACGCCTACGTCCGGGCGGAGGCGGGGGTCGGCGGCTTCGGCAGGATTGGTCGCATGAGGGAGATGGGGGGTCGTCGGCACCGTCAGGGTTGTCGGCAAGGCGCCCCGTTTCCCTGCTTCAGCAAG